GCATGCAGTTGTTCAAATAGCTTGCTGTCTTGATTAGACAGCTCAGGAGAAGTTCTCCTTTGCTAGTTTCACTGATTTGCCTTCTGCAAATCTCTCCTGCCACATGAAATTTTATTCTTAGTCCAGTGTGTTCATGAGCAGCTTTGTATCTTACGGAAAGCATGATTTTTCATTTACAAAAATCCTCTTTTCAGGCAAAAAACCAGTATGTGTTCTTAGGCACACACTGAGAAAAATTATTCTGGAGGCTGCTTCTGCTTCAGCCAGATATATAAAGCAGTATGGGTGGTGTTATGTACTAGTCCTATATAAATAAAAGCCCTTTAAAAATTGTAGAAACATTTACAGCTGTTGGAGTTCTTCCTTCGTGTTCTTTCATGTGAAGTACAGCTTCCATTTCTGATTTTCAGAAGTCCTCCAAGATTCTTCCCTGACTGTTTCTATCCATGGTCGTATTCCTATCTATCATGGCCACCCTCTTTTTCACAATGTATCACTCAATATTAATGACTATTATAGCTATCCTCTTAATAGCTCTGGGAGACTGGATAGGATTAAGCAAAATACATGCTTGTAAAATCTTACCTTACTGACCTGTTTCTCACCTGGCTGAATTGCCATTATCATACTTTACATGCTCAAACTTACGCTACTTAGATTTTACTTACACTCCCCAATACCTGCTGCTGTATTCCTCACCCTCAACACTACCAAAATTCTAAACCCAGTATTTTCTTAGATGAAAACATAATAAAATTGGGAAAACAAGTGGAATCCCTCAGCAGAGACCTCTTAACTAATCACTAGTTTATATGCATGAATGTTCTTCTTATGCAGTGTTTCTTGCGCAGTACAAGTTTAAAGGCACAGTATAAAGGATAAAGGACAGCAACTTCGTTGAATGTAGTTCTAAGGTCTGTCTCTCAGCCGTACAAAATCCACTGTGTCCTGCTTAGCACATCACACTGCAGTTTGCTCAGCTGGAATCCTTGTTTTGCCATAGTCCATGTGTACGGTTTCCTGAAATCACTGGGGCTTGATTGGCAAGACAGTGTTTCAAATCAGACCAAGACAGCAAACTCTGTCTTGTGTGGGCTGTCAGAATAAATCCTTCACCAGGGTTAAGTGATGTGCAGCTACGGTGGCTGTGCCTGCTGTTAAACCACTTATTCTGCACCCACCACATAATCAGGTCTTATTTGTTAATATCAGTGTCACAACCATGGATGGGCTGCCCTCAGACTCGAATATTTAGAACAATTCATCAGACTAGGAAAGTGTTGTATGTTCTTAGCCAAAAGTGGAGAAATACCATTAGAAAATCAGCCCACTCTGAAGACTTGAAAACTGCAGCAACTATAAGCATGACAAGCAACATTCCTGACTTGTATGTGTGTTTTTCCTCACATTCAAAAGCACAAGGGACATTTCTACTGCATAATGTCAACCCATAATTTTATGTAACATTATATATAATTTATCCTTCTCTTTTTTTATTCTCTTGCAGGTGGAAGATGATTGGAAATACGTAGCTATGGTGATAGACAGAGTATTTCTCTGGGTATTTATAATCATTTGTGTGTTTGGGACTGTAGGGCTCTTTATCCAGCCACTAATAGCAGAGGCGTAACTCAATCCACTGCTTTTTATCCACTTTTGATCTTGTTTCATTTTCAGTTCAGAAATTTATCTTCTATTTCTCTCCTCTAACCTAACCCCTCTGCTCAGCACCCAGCCACAGAGGGTCCCAGAACAATAAAGTATGTGTTTACATTTATGTTTGAAATCAGACAGATCTTTAGCATTTAATTATGTTTGAAGACAAATGGACTTAGCATTAGAATGTGGTTACTATGTGAGGCATACACATTTGAAAAGTACATGCTTCTAAAATCTTTTAAAATTAGTTTGGTCTGCCACTCACCTTTCCACGTGAACAAAGTCCCCTTTACTTTTTGATAGTGAGTACCAAGACCTTGATGAGCTTCAGTAGGATTTCCAAGGCACATATCTCATCAGGTTAACAGTGGTCCTAGCCCACAGGTTCTGCTCTGAAAACTCTTGCTTGCTCAGGCTCAGACATAAACCTAACAGAGAAGGGCTTGTCCCTGAGTAGCTACTTGCCATAGACAGAATTGTTTTGACAGCACTGGGTTGATCTGAGGTTTTGTCTTTTTAAAACCCAAGACCAACCTAGATTACGCACATCCCAGCAGAAGGCTGGATACCATGAATCCTGTGGAAAGCCAAGCACCTTGTTTCAAGCAGCTGTGCAGCCGTGTTCTGTTTCCTGGCTCCTCATGAGTCTGTGCTGTGTGTGCAAACCTGTAACTGTAGGGCCATGTCCTTTGGGGTTGCTGCTCTGTAACCAGGTCCCAATCCTAGTGTGCTTCTTCCTGAAGCTCTTAGAAGATGCGTTCCTGATGTGGTTTCTATAAAATGCGGATGGTTTACCCTTAAGTCCCTCATTTGTTTATATTTCTGTAAGTTTTGTGCTGAAAGATTCTCCTTTAAAAGGCACTATTAAACCAAATGGCTCCAAGAATACAAAGCCTTTCCCTCTTATAAGAGCCTCTAAATTTAACTGTACAGTGTCAATGCAGTGTTTTCAGTGTCAGCCACGCATCAGTCTCTGCTCTGAACATCATCAGTCCTTGGAAAGTAAGACTCCCTGTTTCTGAAGTCATTGACTGGCCTTCTACTATTTTTTCATGTTTCGTAATAAAGAGAATATTAATAAATTAGTGTATATGTTAGAGATAAAGGTGGAATGACAAGAATCCACCCAGTCATGATTGTAGAAGAACAAGTAGAAGAAAACTATTATTTTTTGTAATCCCCCTGAATGTTGTTCAATTATGTAGTGACTGTCATAGAGATGTACGATAAAGCATGGTTTATTTTGTCAGCCTGTCAATTAAATGTCACTCCTGAGATACACCTTCTTGAAGAATTTGTGGTTTGTGGGGTTTTTTTAGATTTCCTGTTGTGAAATGTGTTTATAGATGCTACTAAATGACATTTACTATACCGGCTCTTTAATCAGAAAGAAGGTGAGGGAAAATAAAGGAAATTTGAAGAGGAGAGCTGAATTCTGAGCCTAAAAACTTCATTTTTAAGGGAAAGACATCTGACTGACAGCATTCACTGTTACACTCTATGACCATCCAGACCATGAAAATATTGTGGCTGAAGGTGCATTGCATCAGTGTCTTAAACATGACAGCTACAACTCCACAGTCAATAACCTGACTTTAGCAAAATCCCTGATTTACAAAGGCATCTTGTCTCTCTTTTTAATGTACTATTTACCCTTCCTTTCTCCAACTCATTTTGGAGCCATCTTTTGCATTTCTCAGCTATATTTGGCACATTCAGTACGGGGAGCCTAATGTACTGCTGCCAGCTTTGTGAAAGTACTTGACTGATTATAGAGAGTGGAGATGGGGGACACAAGAAGCATATCAGTATGTCATCCTGAAGAAGGCTGCAATAGGGGTGCCCCTGCAAGCAGACATGGAAGAGCCCACACAAAAATTACGTTGTTGCTTGCCCCAACTCTTGCTGAAGGTTGGAGGCCCTTCTAAATAAAATAACAAGAAAAATTACAACTAGAGCTGGAGCCATCCCAGATGCTGACTTGGGTCACACATTGTGCACAGCCACAAGAAAGGTCTATTCTCACCCCATCAGCTCCAAAGTCACATTAGCAATACCCCTTATTAATATGTCTCAGTGATGAGTGTACCACTGGCAGCAAGAATTCTCCTCTCCTTGGGAGTGAGGGCATCTATTAGTTAACTTTAAAAGCACAGAAGAAAATCACCAGCTCAACATCTCTTTACATTCTCTTCCCAAGGAAGACTATTCTTCCAGTTTGCCTCCACTAAAAGGCCCAGAAGAGTTTTTCATATTTATCTTTTGGTGAGCAAGTGACATATATATTCTTGCCAAGCAGTGCCAATGTCTTGGCAAACCAGTGCCCAGAAACTGAGGCAGCACAGGCTGGGACAGTATTAAGGTGGAGGGTTACTGTTTTGTTTTTTTTAAGATCTGCAATTTGCAGTATTGTCATCCACAGGCAGAGCAAGTGGAAGGCCCCATTGGAGGACTGTCTGCCCAAATGTCCTCCCTAGTTGTGTTTTTAGTGGCAGACTGTTGTGGAGTACATGTTGAATGCTTTTGTGGGCCAGCAGCAAAGAGATTTAGAGAAGCTCAGGATCAGGCAGCAAAAGGGAACGAGTAGTGAGACTACAAATGTAGTAGTACCAGATGCAATGCTAGGAAGACTTGAGGCCAGACGTCATACCTGTGCAATTTCCATACATCTCCAACACATGAGCTCTGCTGATCTTCATCAGCATAAGCCAGAAAAAGCAGCTTGGCATCAGACACGGATGTGTGAGACAGAGCCATGTGTTGCCTGTGGGTGGGCAACCAAAGTGTTGCATGGTGGAGACAGGACCATCTGTCAGATGGACACCTGAGGCAGTTGCCCAGGAGAGAAGGTTGGCATCTGTCATGGCTAACAGGCAGCCTCTTGGAAGCAGTGCTCACAGGGAATATCTATCACCACTGGAGCTCAGGAGTCTGGAAGTACTGCAAAGAAGAGCTTCCTGGCTCTTTTCCTACAGGCATTTCACAGTACTAGGGGAACAAATACACCTTATGCAAGAAGAGAGGAGTGACTGATAGAATGGTCAATGTGTATTAGTTTTTTATGCCACTATCTTATGCTAAGACATCTTTCTGTGTATGCTAAACTAAATGAGTTTATTCCAGCAATACAATAACCACATCTGAATGCTTCTTGCTCAAACTCACATAGAGAGCTAAAAAGCAATGAGGACTTTCCAAGAACACGCCAACCCCTCTGAATACACTTGGGACAAAGCTTTTAAAATGGGCTACAGTCTAGCTTTGTTGACAGCAAATCAACAGCAAACCCCAGTGTAAGGACACTCCAGGAATAATTTACTAAATACATCTTTATTAATAATGATTGCACAAGTGGACATAAGTTTCTGCATTGACACATTATGATGGGATTACATTAACTCATGGAGGTCTGGTGTGCATGCACAATCCAAGCACAAGAACACCTCTCTGTATTTTTAACACTTTCTAACCTCCATCTCTAGGGAACAGTTTCAAGGCTAAAACTTTAACACGTATTTAGATTGTCAAAAATTGGATCTCCAAATCCTTTTCTAACCTTGAAAACATTTGCAAGTTCTGAATAGGATTTTCTAAAGCACATCATGTTGGAAAACACTGTCCCAGCAAAGGTGGTGAAGGCTTCATTCCCATATTCAAGAGCTTCACCTGGGTGTTTTCTGTCACATCTCACTTATATAACTTATATAACATTTCTAAGAGCTGTTTCTAATCATGCAAAAGGATCCCCTAATAAATGAATCAAAGGCATGAAATTCTGAATTGTCTAGGAAATATGGACAAGCCAACATCCAAAAATATATCTTCCTGGTGACCAGCCCCCTCTATAGCTCTCAAGAGAAACCCCACTCCTGTAACAACCACAACTTTCATCTGCCAGAAGAGATGTCTCTAGCTTCCCTCCAGCTGAACACTTCAGGAATATCACTGTTACCTTATGGAATAACATAGCTATCTTCGCTTAGGTGATATTCCACTTGTGAACAAGTAGGTGAAGTAATAATAGTTTCTACATGTGGAGCATGGGGAAAAATCATCATTTTGTCAGCCTTCTGGTACATTACAGAGCAGCAAGCAAAATTGCAAATAATACTGGAAAGTGGGCGATACCTTGTAGCTTCCTGGTGGCAGAGGTGAGAGACAAAGTGTGCATGCCGTAAAGGCTGGTAGCAGGTGATCAGTAGTAGATTCTGCCTCTGTCGAGCTGATCCTGCAGCAAAGTGAGGCTAGAGAGTCAAGGTTTTGAGCATCTCATCTAAGAATTTATACTTTTTCTGTTGAATATGCTATGCAATTGCCAGTTCTGACATACGCATAAAGCAACCTGTAGACACTTAGTGGTTTTTACTTGGAAACACAGGTAAACTGAGTAGAGATTTGTGTTCCTACTGTAACTTCTTCTACAATGTAGCATTTTAACTGGCCTTTTAAGTATAATGATTGTACAAGACCTTCTATTTCCAATTTTAACTAATAATCTTGGCTTTTGTAGTAATATAACCAAGCTAACAATAAAATAATCATAACTCAGTTGTGCGACCCCAGTTCACTTTAGGCCTTGGCTGTGCACCAAGCTCTTCTCTGATTTCAGCAAAATCTGTAAGTGGTAGAGTTATTATGAAGACTGAAAGCACTAATAAATACCCACTGTTACCATCACCTTCCCTCATTCATGCTGCTGCTTCCCCTCTTGTACAGCAGAGACCAAGCTCCAAGGCACCACCGTCCCTTGGCACTGTACTTGTTGTATATGACTCTGGGAGTAGTTTCTACAAAGTGTTGTTCAACCACATCCGTAATGCAGGGGTAAAGATGAGAACTGAACCCATCACTGACACCACCAGAAATAACCACAAGAAGATCCGATCCAGGACTTGAGCTACAAATTTCCAGTCTTGTACAACCTGGGAAGGACAGAGGGAGGATAAACATAAATAGTAACAAGCCTGGTACTGTGTTGATACTGCTACATATATTTCAGCTCCCCAAATCTGGTTTTAAAATTAGAGGTTTGTAGTATGTGGCAGCCTTAAACTAACAGAGATCACCACTTCAGCACTCATAGCTGCAAACTGCTCAACCCCCTAAAACAATTCCATCAAGATCTGTGCACATGGTGATGAGATTTCCTCAGTCTGCACAAAAGCTTTCAGTTAAGTGCATACATGGAAATTTGCAGACTTAGACTTGAAGATGGCTTTACAGTAAACCATGTTTCTTTTAACAGATCTGCATTTCCTTCTAAGTGCCAGGATGAGGCTCTGGCATATCACTTGGACACAGGCATTGATTCCAGTACAAGCAGTATGATTTACTTGTGTTTGCTTAAGTGATTTGTTGACTCAGATTGGGTACACTCAGGAGGGGAGTTTTGAATTGTGAGCGCTGGCACAACTATGCGTACACAAAAGTGCTATTTATTAAGGTTAGCACTTTTTATTCACCTTTTCATTAAAATAATTTCCACTTCAAACAAGATTCAGTCATGGACAGTATGTGTTCACATACTGCATTTTTTATTTACTGCTCTTCTTTCTGCTGTAGTCCTCTCACTGCAGTTTCAATGAAGCCCTAGCTCTTGCTAGGAGGGTGCTAGCAGAAGTTTTTCCAAATGCTGCTAGCTGCATTGCTCTGCTGTCCTACTCTTGCATGAGATGCATTGTTTGCAAACACAGAATTTTGCCCTTTTAAAAGCCAGGAGGTGAAGGATAGTAGTTGGTAGCTAATCTAAGCAGGTGTTAGTGAAAATCTAGACCTTCACTCAAAACAGAGCAGCTATGCAGTGCCCGGTATGTACTGGGAAGCCAGGACTGGCTCCAGCAAATGCCATAGATTGCCTGTATGAAAGTGTGAAAACTGCATTTTTTGAGCATATGACAGTTTAGGGGCTTCCAGATTCATGCATATCCCGAACTTACACAGTACAAGGTTATTAAAATAATCCCATACCAGGAATTCCTACAGGAGAGGCTCCTGGAATCTCTCGCATCTGTGAAGAGCAGAGACTCTCCCAGAGCAATACACTTCTCCTTAAAGCTATGTGTCATCTCAAAAAACATATTATTTATAAGGTCTGAGGAAGAATAGGTGTCAGAGGAGAACAGGAGGAAGAGGCAAAGGGAAAAGCATGCAGAAAAGGAAAGGCTTGGAAACCATTGCTGTCAAGGAAATGCCTTCCCTCCACCTACCTGTCTGATGAAATGCTCCTTTTTAACGTGCCTGGAAATGTACCGAATGGAGTCAGCTGCCTTTTCCAGAAAGGCAATAACAACTTTTTCTCCGTCTTTTGCTTGCTTGTATTTCTGCTTCCCCAGAAACTTTGATTTCGAGATGGTTCCCTTTTCTTCAGTCTCTGAGAATGAGTAGCGATCTACGTGGCCCTTCATGCAGAGCAGACGAGGCAACTTCTGGAGAAAGAGCCTTTTAACCCAGGGAGCCATGGGGTGGTAAGTTGCTGAGGATCGGTGGTGGACATTGATAACAAACACAGTCACGATGATAGAGAGGGTCACAAAAATCATGATGAAGAGCAGATACTCACCGATCAGAGGGATGACTTTGGAAGAAGAAGGGATTATTTCCTCAATCACTAAAAGGAAAACAGTGAGGGAGACTAGAACTGATGTCGACAATGAAAGCTTTTCTCCTTCATCTGAAGGTAGGTAAAACACCAGGACAGTTAGAAAAGACAAGCCCAGACAAGGGATTATTAAGAAAAGAGTGTAAAACAGTGGAAGGCGCCTCAACACAAAGGAGTAAGTGACAAATGGGTAAGAGTACAGTCCATCCTTCCTGTTCCCTTTCATACCTTTGGCGTTTAAGATTTCCCACTCCCCATTATCAAAGAAGTCTTTCCTGTCTACATTTTCATCCACTAAAATCAAGTCCACCATATTGCCATCATATGTCCAGGACCCAAACTTCATGGAGCAGTTCTGCCTGTCGAAGGGGAAGAAGGTCACATCCATTGTGCAGGAGCTTTTATAACTGGCTGGTGGTGTCCAGGTCACCACTCCATTGTACTTCACTATGGCTTTGGTCATCAGGGATCCCTCAAAACGTCCGTCAGCACTGGGAATTAGACAGGAAGAAACAGCACCAAGTTCAGGACTATGTTTGCCCCAGTCCTACCCCATTTCAGCTCTGCTTTCTATCCCTCACCTGGAGCACAAGGTGGGCAACATTCATACTGCCTAGAGAAGCAGCCTTCTGGCAGCACACACAAGCCTCACCACAGCTGACATGCCTTGCCCAAGCTCTGGCCTAAGCTCAGAGCAAGGAGCCACGCTACTCACTTTTCAAACAAAACAATGTCAGGAAGCCACAGAGACTCAGAGGGGACGCGGATAGCGGTGATCCCACCATATTCCTCTGGATTCCAGGAGAGTTTGTGGTCAATCCATTCCTGTAACAAAACAGCAGAGTCCTCTGCTCACTCACATGCAGCAGCCTCTTTCAACCCTGCATGTGCCTCATCAGCTGCATGCACAGCACAGCGGGCACAGCCTGGCATGAGGCTGCTCAGCTGCAGATAGGCATGGCTGGGAGGGGTTAATCCCCACAAGCACTGCCCATCCAGACACAGGTGAAACCCAAGAACCCAACCTTAGGATGGTGACCTCAAGGCTGCTTCTGGAGAGCACTTGACTCTCACTTCCCTCACCACCCTGCACAGACCACCTGAGAATAGTCTAGAAGGAAGGAGCTACTTCTCTTTAGTGCAGCAGCTTTCCTTCCCTCTGAGAACCAGCCCAAGCTGGTTTTGGTTGGCACAGATCCCATGGAAGACCCCATGGACCCTAGGTGGTGTGGGTACTAGTACTCAAATGAGCAGAGGTGGCCTTAATTCACTTGTCAGTGGAGATCTGGCTTTTTTCAGTGAATGGAATACAACACCTAATATCAGTACACCATCCTTGCGAAAAACAAATAAATTGATCTGTCAGCAGAAATACCTGCAGACTATTGCAGGAAAAGTAATATGATGCTGTTGTAAAGTATTTGGTTACAAAAGCAGGGAGCATCCTCTCCATTTTCATCATGCTGAACTCTAGAACAATTTTTCTCTCCTTTTTTGGGTTTTCAGATAAGGAGATCATAACAAACTGGCCCTAACAACCTGGAGATTTCCACAAAAAAGCAATGGAAAATCAGCTCTCTGATCTCTGTTCATTATTTATGAGGATATTCATTTGTCTTGAAATAGCAGCAACATGATGCAAGAGCTGTAGACTGTGGTCAATACCAAGAAGTGGAAAATGAAACAGTTTCCATTAAGCTGCAGCACTAAGAGATCTCTAGGGATGTGGAGGTCTCAGCCTTCACTGGGCAATTTCCTCCATCACTGAAGGATGAACCAAAAAAGCAATATTGTCTATTAATTCTCTATATTCCCTTCTTATTTCTTTGATTCCACATGCTTTTCAGAGCTATATCTAGAGACATTTGTTATTTTTCAGGTGTGGAAAGAGAAGAGGGGCCATTGCTGCTCAGAGCGTCACTATCAGGGACAGAGAACTTCAGCATTTTTAGCATTAACCAGTTTTAGCATTAGTTTTTCTCTGAGGATGGGTATCTAACAGATGTCTCCAGCAGCCTAGGCTGTTAAGTGGTCACAGTCTCACGTGTGTCCTGGACGCTTCCTGTAATAGGTACAATGAGGCTTAGGCTGGAAACGTATATCATGCAAGGGGACAGTCAGGGCTGAGGAGCAACCAACACAGTCGTCTTGTAGTCTTTACTAACACAAGAGCAGCAAATACCCTGTGAGCCACCTAGAGATAGAATCATCCCTCTGGAGTTGAATTGGAGCAGCCCCTTGGCCTAGGTTATTTGCTCCATCTGCAATACTCCTCACTTTCCCCCTGCCTTGCACTGATTTCTCTCCCAGCTAAAGTGCTCTTTCGTGTCTGCAAGGCAAATGGTTGTGTCTTCTTACTAGAGCAGAAAATAGATTGTGTGCAGACTTCGAAAATGAGCAGTTTAAAACAGGAATCTCCCTGTGGGCTATGCTGATACAAACTGTAGCAGCAGATGCATAAGGCTCTTTCCTCTCTTTTCCCTTTCTTCCAAGCGGCTCCAGACATTGCAATCGCTCTCTCCTTCCTCCAGTTCTGCCAAATTCCCATTTCTGTGCTGTCATTGAAGAGTTTAACCCAACGCCAGTGGGACAAAAAGCACTGGACCCAGATTCTTGACCTTGCTAGTAGACCCCATAGCTTGCTTGAATGCAGACACTTCTTCAGAAACCTCTGAACCTTATGTGTCAGCCTGCCTGTGTATCAAGTCCTACTATCTCAAGCATCAGGATATTTGAAGTTAAAAAAAAAAAAAAAAAAGCTGGTGTTTAAGCTTTGCTTATCCAAGCAAAGTAACACTCTTGCTGAGAAATTATTAAGGTGATCAGGAGCAATCAGCATGGATTCACTAAAAGTAAATCATGCTTGACCAACCTGATTGCCTTCTGTGGTTAAACAACTCCCTGGATGGACAAGAGAAGGGCACTGGATATTGTCTACCTTGACTATAGCAAGACTTTCAACACTGTCTCTCTCACAAAATCCTCATAGGCAAACTCAGGACGTTTGGACTGGATGAGTGGACAGTGAGGTGGATTGAGACCCGGCAGAACGACAGATCCCAAAGAGTTTGTAATCAGTGCCACAGTGTCTGGTTGGAAGCCTGTCACTGGTGGTGACCTCCAAGTTTCCATACTGGGCCTAGTATTGTTAGACTTTTTTACCAGTTACTTGGATGAAGGGGCAGATGCTTTCTCAGCAAGTTCACTCATGACACAAAGTTCAGAGGAGTGGCCAATACCCCAGAGGGCTGTGCTGCCATTCAGTGGGACCTGGGCAGGCTGGAGGGATGGAAGGAGAAGAAACATCCAAAATACAACAAAGGCCTATTCAGGGTCCTGCACCTGGGGAGGAACAGTCCCAGGCACCAGCCCAGGCTGGGGGTGACCTGCTGGAAAGCAGCTGTGTGGAGAAGGAGCTGGGGGTCCTGGTGGACAACAAGCTGTCCATGAGCCAGCAGTGTGCCCTGGGGACCAAGAAGGCCAATGGGACCCTGGGGTGCATTAGGAAGAGCATTGCCTGCAGGTCAAGAATAGTGATCCTGCCCCTGTGCTCAGCCCTGGTGAGGCACATCTGGAGTGCTGTGTCCAGGTCTGGGCTCCTCAGGACAAGAGAGGCTGGGAGCCCCTGGAGCAGGTCCAGTGGAGGGCAACAAAGATGATGAGGGGACTGGAGCATCTCTTCTACTTTGAAAGGCTGAGGGAGTTGGGTCTACATGAACACACAACTTCCACAGCACGACATCTGAGTCAGGCACAGGTATTTAGTGCTCAGCCTGAGCTCCTGAGGGCACTTACACATGTGAAAATCACAACCTGTGCCTCATTTTCCACTCCCTTTGCATTACCTTAGGCCCTGATGTTCTCAGCCCATCAGATGGAGAAGTGGTATTAGAAATAATAACAACTCCAGAGAGCCCAGCTCGAGGAAATCACAGTCCTGAGCTCCCTGTGGAGCTGCTGCAGCTGCTGAGGATTCCAAAGGTTTCCAGAGAAATCAGTACGTCTACAGTACACAGGGCTTGGACCTGCAGGTGAAGGTGGGTGCTACAGCCTGCAAGGAGTGTGGTTTGGAATGGGGAGAGGACAAATGAGGGCAGATGAGGGCTCTTTGCAGGAGGGCTCTGCCGTCTGCCCAACTGAATACTCAAAGTAAGGGAGCCAAGACGTGGCCTTGTGCACAAAAGGGGCTCTACAATTGCAGCTGAAGGGTGGGAAATTGCAGTACTGCAGATAATTCAGGGCAGGCTCCTAGTAGCTGTATTTGGATCAGAGAGGAATTTCTCCAGCAAATAAGGGAAAATCCTGTCTTCCCCACAGTGAGGGCAAGTCTGAGATTTTCCCTCTTCAAGTGACAAATCATCTTGACACAAAATAACCATATTGGTTTTAGGGTCTTGCTCCAGCCAGAATCTCACACTCACTGCAGCAATGCAGGACCCAGACTGAGACAAAAAATTAGTCAAAAATTTCTCATCCACAAGCCCAGCAACCCCGAAGGACCTTTCCCCATGGCATGATTTCAAGTACGGTTTGTTTTTATGTCCTTTGCCTGGGATCAGCTGACATCTTTACAGATACTCACAAGGTTGAGAGACTTAAAATAATTGTCACAAGGTCAATAAGCTGGTGCAATGTAACCTAAACCATAAACAGCATTCTTCAAGAGTGAAGAAGAAAGGAGACCTAACAGTTCAACTTGCACATTTCTCACATTTTTATAAATCACTGTCAGTTCCAGAAGCAATTATGATAGAGAAATCAGATTCATTTGCCACAGTTTTTAATGGGAAAAGGTCTGTGGTGTGTCTGTGTAACACACTGGCCTCTTCTTTCTCTTTACATATGCTGAGGAATGAAGAAATCTATCCGAGGCACGAGTCTTGGCTTAGGCAAGGGAGATAGTACTTGTGTGACCTCTGAGTCTAAGATAGGATAGTCCCTCAGGGCCCATACCACACCCCAGGGATAGCCACTGCAGTACCAGCTGTGTTGCCTCCCTGAAATACAGCTGGCTTGAGCACACAGCTGGGGTGCAGGTCAGGAGACAAGGGTACCCTATGTCCCAGAGGCCAACCTGCCTGCCCTTCTGTCTCTGTACATTTGCTGGAGAGAAGAGTGAAGTACAAACTTCAGGTTAGGTATCTTGGTGCTGGCCACTCAGCATCATAAAATGGCATGGATGGCACAGCGGGCAGCAGACTGAGATGGCTCCTGAGCTCAGCAGTTCCACATGGGGAAAAGGGAGGTCTGATGGGGTCTAATTTACCTGTTTCAGCCACACGTTGGTTGTCATCAGCTGATTCTTCTCATCCTAGAGTGACACAAGGGAGAAAGGATTGCAATACCAAAGGAGTCATTAGAAACAGACCCTATGCCTGTCGAGTCCCACCCTGTGCCAAGACGAGGGGATCCCTATGGTTCTGTTTCCCCATGGGCTTGAGCTCTTCAGTCACCATTGAGGGAAATTGACTGGCTTTCTAGGTGCTGTCCCTGGTATCCCTGGGAGCCCTTGAGGCTGGAAAACCGAGGTCTGGCATTTCACAGGAGCTCAAAGGAATCATATGCCCAAGACCCAGGGTGTGTCAGGGCTCAGCCTGCAAGGGGTATCAGGTCAGACAAGGTTGTGGGCTCACAGGATGGCTCATCTCGCAGCACTACTCAGCCTGGAGTGAGTTTGGAAAGATACAACCTGAAACCTTGTCCTAAATATGTAAATAAAGCACAAAACTAGAGAGAGCCTTCCAGGGCACAAGGAGACATTACCAGGGGCTGTGGGATGTAAGGAGCACACTGTTGAGTGGATACCTCTGGGCATTGTGCAAATTCCGCTGTGCAATGCAGTGGAAAGAGAAGGGAAAATTTCCACATGGGCAGAAACACTGAATTATCTATTTTTCCTCTAGAGTTTTATCTTAGTGACCAGCTGGGTTAAGACTTGAACTACCTTTGGCCTCAATGCAAGCTTGCTTGGAGTGAATAATATCCAACCAGCTCTGATGCTTTCTCAATCCTCTCTGGTAGCTGTCTTTTCATTAAACTGCAACATAGATGTCAAGGACTGTTTGGCATGAGTTTTTTGATTAAAACCTTATGGAAATTAGGCCTTACTCCCTGAGAACAGCAGGGGAAAAAGGGCCTTCAGGTTTCCTTCAAAACAAATGAGTCCTCCACTCCATGCTGGGGGTGGGGGGGAAGAAGGTCACCATTTCATGCTCATATCACCAGCACCATTTCATGCTCAGTGTTTTGCTGCCCAACCATCACCGTGCATTTCTTGTGTCAGGAGGAAAAAGCTAAATTACATTACCAGTCCTCACAGGTGAAGGCACAACTATGTTTATAAAAGAGATGTTTTACTAATACAACACTTACCACATCCACAAGCTGTGATATTTTTAACCCAAAAAGGACTTTGATGGTGTCATTGGAGTTTTCTACAGGGCGGACCCATTTCTGATAGCCTTCAAATAAGTGCTTAAGGAGTGCATCTTCATTTTCAGCAACTGAACTGAAGGCATTCACATCTGGAAGAGAGCAACACAAAGTGCAGGCACCGCTAGAAAGCAGGCATGGAGAATGCAATGACCTGAAGAAATGAGGCAGAGCAATGATGTGAGGGAAACTCACCTCTGGGCAGATCTTGTCTTGTACAGCAAATTCTGCAGGAATTCAGACCCACAGACTCTTAGCAGAACCAGGGCAAGTGAATGGAAAGACAAGATAGCCCAAGCCCAAAAAAAATCATCAGACCAGTGATGACTTTGTACTAGGTTTATGTTTCCTATGGCCTTTTTGACAAAGCAAAAAGAGCCCATATGGCAGCAGCAGGAGCTGGATGATGCAGTCAGGGCTAGATCTGCCAGGCAAGCACAGAGCTGTCATGGTGTGTACCTGCACAACTTGTGACTCTCACAATCATTGACACCATGCTCCCCCTTCCCCCTGCTACCAAGAAGGGCTAAGGGCAGTTCAGACCCTCCACCCTTTCCCAAACTTCAGCCCCATTCCCTGTGACGTTGAGCTTCTGACATGACCTCCATCTCTTCTCTTGTGCACATACACAGCAAGCAAGGGTGAGAAGGATTTTACCTCTCTTCAAAGCCATCATGGAGGAAAAAAGACTGGCCCCACACAGCAGGGATCACAGCCAGTCTTGCTGTGTCAGCAGTCTAAAAGGACCTCACAGGACACTGTCCAGAGCCCAGCTTGTGCCCTGCCAGCCCCAGGGTGAGCAGGACATCTGTGCCTAGCTTGCCAAGCATTAGTTGCAGGAGGGGTCTGCAGGCAGAGGGTCATGGCCCATGGATGGTGCCAGAACCTGACAGTGGGAGAGCTCTGAAGGGCACAGTCAATATGTTCACACAGTGTGCATCAAGATCAGAATTAAGGCAGCCCCCAGCAGGGTCTCTGTGCGCATGGAGAGAAAGGGCATTCAAACCCAGCAACCCCTCCAGAGAGAAAGCTGGAGGCAGAGAGTCATGGTCTGCCCCTACATGGAGGAAAGGATGTGACCATGGACGACTATCTCTGCCCCTGTCCTCTTCCCCACAGCTGCTCCCCATCTCTGAGCACGACAGGCTCTGCAGCCTCCTCCACCTCGGTCAGGGTCTGTCTGAGGCTGCAGACAAGGCCAGACCTGGCAGCAAGCAACACAGCTGAAGAACTGCCCAAAGCAAAAACCTGCTTTCATAGCAGAACTTTCCATGGGACAAAATAATTCTTTAATGCTGTCTGGATCCTCTTAGGATAGCACAAGGTCCAAGCAGCACTGTCAAACCCCACTTCCAGCCACAGTAAGATATTGTTCCTCTTTGAGGAACTCCGCAACCTACTGGTTGCACTCACAGGACAACAACTTTACTGTCAGATGTTCTAGCACAAGCTGTGCTTGTCCTCTATAGCTGGAATAGAAGTGTGGTGGGGTTACCAAGCCCCGGGCGGGTAGAGGCTGGCTGGCCAGAGGGAGCATTCGCAATCATTTCCACCTGCTCCATCCCACAGCCAGGCGTGGCTCATGAAGCTGTCAGCACAGTTTACAGTGGTCCTGTGGCCACACTTGGTCTTGTCACTTTGTCACAAGCCCTTGAAGTCTGCTATTTCCACAAATGCCCCTTCTGCTTGTTCCAGGGTTTATTCTCATGCCAGAGCTGACCCTAACATCACCACAGCAAATGGAGGACAGAGTCTGCAGTCTGTCTAGGAAACTAGATTGGCTTCCCAAACATGGCAGATGGGTATTGCACCTGCAACCAAAGGAAGAGAAAGAGCACATTTCTTCCCCCTCACTACCCACAGCCTCAGAGGTCCAACCCTCTGAGATATAAGAGTCTTTGCAGAGACTCCATCTCCTACATGTTTTGCTTTCCATTTAGGAGATTCATAGGGGTGTATGGTTGTTAAAAATGGGAAAAATAACAGAAAAGCAATTAAATAGAAAAAATCCATAACCCCAAAATATGCAGAATCAAAACCAATTCTCTCTTAATGTCGGATTATATTGCTGTTTTTATTTGAGTATGACATCCTGCACACATGCACGCAGCCACACACCCTGTGTCCGTGGTTGTGTAAGACCTTCCTCAAAAGAAAATGGTGCCATTTCACAGCCCGTATCTCACATAAAGTTCAGGTACATAATGCTCCAAGTGGGTATAGAAGACAGGTGGTAAAGCTGGGATTGGGGCTGGGTATATTGAATCTCATCTGCTGAGGAAGATACAAAAAGGTGAAAAAGGCTTAAGGAGTCTCATAAGGAAGAAAATCAGAAGGAAGAAGATTGTTGCCTCTGTAAGACAGCCTCAGTACTTGCACAAAGACAGTTTAAAAGCAGAAGTTATTAATTAATGAGAAATAAGAAATATTATACGGGAAAACAGTCCCAGTCTTTGACCAAGCCCCACTTTATGATTAATCTAGATAAAGCCATGAAGAAAACATTGAACAAAGTAGCACTGTCTTTGAAAAAAACAGAGAAGCAGCCATAGGACAGATACATGCCTGAATTTACCATATGATGCACTGAGAAACAAGAGCTGGGGAGCTCCCTGTCAGGTTAACGTGTTCAAGTACTCAAGCACTGTATGACATCTCCCCATCTCCCAGGTTCCTGTCTCTCTCTGTGATCTGCCCAAGTTGCTGCTCCCCACGGGTGCAGAACAGAGTTCTGGGACCGAAAGTCTGCTAAACAAACGTGCAAAATACCCAGTAAGTACAGACAAGACACTTAGCCTTTTCTCAGTTTGCCTGAAACATTTCAGGTTTTTTTGTGATAGAAATTCTCCCTTAATTCCCTTTAGCAGCCAAAAGTCGAGTTTAGGATTTTTTGTCAATTTCTAGCCAGCAATTGCCCCACCACCAGTTATCAAAACCTAGTTGTCAAACTGACTGTGGTTGCAATATAGAGGCAGCAACTGATATAACTCTCTTCTGCCACTCACACAGCACTTAAAGGATGACCAAGGGAAGCCAGCATTCCCCATGCCCCAGAAAGCAGCAGCTAACCGGCCAGCAGAAGAAAAAACTTGAACACCTGTGCTCAGCTTGGAAGAAGAAGAAGAAATCACACTTACCTGAGTGGCTTAGACACAGCACAAAGAGCACTAGGCAAAGCATGGGCACCACCGTGGCTTTTCCTTTAAATCTGCTCTTCTGTTTTCATAAGCAAATCAGTCTCATCTTTGTAGGGGACTAAAACAATCTAGCTGAGAATCAAAGACAGTTGAGTCTGCAAAGCAAGGCAGCACCTTTCTAGCCTTATCTTGCCCTCATTATGACGCTTGGTAAATCACACTTCATTGATTTTCAGTCAGCTGTCACATCCCGTCAGCCTTAGGCTCTGGGTCCTAAACTCTGACCGATCTCTTTGTGGCAGTATTTAGGTAGCTATAAGCACTGCAATCTAGGAGCATGCAAGAGGAAAGTCTTTTAAGGAGGCAAATTATCTTTTGTTATACTGCTAACTGCAGCTGGACAAAAAAAAGCAGGCTCCAGTTCAGACCAAAGATAAATCAGATACCTTAAAGATTATCTCTTTGCTCCAACTGTATCAGTTGATCCAAAAATAGAGACAGACTCCCTACAGATCTAACTTAGCTTATTCATTTTTCATGCTACGCTTGCTACTCTGGAGCTATAAAATGGATTTGGAGGGCAAAAAAAATCCCAGTAAGATGCAAGTGGAAAAACGATGCTGATTTCTAAATTTATATCTCATACACAAAACATCACAGACAGCAGCACAGAAATGCTTCCACAGTACTATCCACTGGCACATCTTAACAGAGAATGTTCCCCCGGGGTCTTGTGTATAATAACGGGAGTGAGGATTATTTAGCCAGTTCCTCTTCAGTCAGACCTCTGTCAGTCCTCCCCAGTGACACCTCACACAAGGCTCCTTTCAGAAACCACCAGAAATCGCTGATAATCAAAAGGGATGCAGATTCCTCTTTTCCCATCCCCCTGACACTCCTCTGCTGAAGGACATGATGATTTTATGTGTTTTCTTCCCAAATGAGAGTTACTTTGGCATATCTCTCCACAGAGGAAGTTTTCTCCTGAAGTTCTCAAGTTCAAGGAAGAGGCTTGCAAAATTCTTTTAGCTTGTCTCCAGACTCAAAACTCTTCCTGCTTAGATTATTTCTTGCTAGCTATTCAATTTTTGTTGACTTTTGTATGGGAAGCCTGGTGTACTTCTTGCAGTGGCCCAAATTTTGGTACAGTCACAAGTTTTGTGATTCAGATTTGCCTTATCTAAGGTCCTCACAGCGGATTGATAACTGGCAGCTGTAATCTTACCAGATTATTCAGCTTCCTGTAATGAAAAAGTTCCCATTTAAGTGCGGTTCAAAGTCACATTGCTGCTGCAAGCGACATTCTTGTCCTATCAACTTACTCATGCTTCTGTGGCCTTGCAGCCCAGCTCATCCCTAGCTCTCAGGCAAGCCACTGGCAGCAACTCAGTTTGCTTTTTCCACTACTGTACTACACACAAGAAACCTGCAAGGGCCCTTGCTAGCTCCTCAGTTCTCCCTCTGGTCACCTCGCAGCTGGCTTCTTCTGCAACTTTCCTCACCTCAGATGCAGAAAGCCATGCAAAAATAAAAGTGCTACCAAAAGACCATCTTCAATGAAGTGTACTTTCAACACCAGCTGCTGTAATTTCTCTATTTCCCTCTTATATCAAGATCAGGCACAAGCACAGAACTTCTTGAGGTACACAGGAAAGTTCCTTTTTTTATGCTGTCTTCCAGAGAACAGCAGTCATTTGGATAGAGTGGTGAAGACAGATAGCACCACAGTCTTCCACAAAGCTGAGTGGGGACTAAACACAATCATTCTGCCTGACACAAATTTTTCTACAGCCAGGTTACCCCTTTAAAATGCTCTTTTCAGATTACCCCATACTTTCCATCATGTTTGTTGTTCTGTACAGGACTCGGCACCCTCAGACATCATCCACAATTTTGCTTCATGACTGCAAGCCCCAGCCTTTGCCCCTTGACACCTCTGATGGTAGTTACTGCCTGAGATTGCATTGAAGCATTGCTCTGTCAGACAATATGAGAGACACTTGTTTTTCACAGGGCTTTAACATGCTGCCTTGTGGCAATGGAGTTAATTTTTGCTACTACATGATAGTTGCTTGGAGGTTGCATTTCCATTGAACCCACCCATTGCCTAGACTGTGGCAAAAGGTAAGGACCAGGTTTGCCTGGTCATTGGCTTCCAGAGTTACCAGACAGCTAGAGGAGAGTATTGGAGAAAGAAATTCTGTTTGCTTATTGTTTTCTGTTCACAAGTTTATGCAGCTGTGCACTTCAATATTTTGGAAAGTTAGGTATGTATGAATACTCCATTTTGCCAGACAGGCCTTGAAGCAGGAGGTGCATCCACCCTGAGATAGCAAATTAATTATTGGGCAGAACTCTGCTTGTGACACTACTTGAGTGGCTATTCTCTGTTGAGAAGACGTCTTTACTTTTCCACAGTACGAGGCTGCAATTCCGGGCTGCTAAGAGCCAGGTACTGCCTGGAGACAAGCAACACTGGAGCTGGGCCTCATTTTCTAGGCAGCAAAAATGCCAAGAAAAAGAGAAATCTACCTAGAGGCACAAATCCATCAATTTGGGCCCACATGGTTAATACTAGCAGCAACTGAAAACTTGAGTTTATGATGGACAGTCCTAAGCCATGTTACCTGTAGGCATCATGCAGTCAAGCATGGAAAACAAGATTCCAGGGGAAGGTGATAGTGCTGGTTGACAATCAGGGGGTGGGAAACCTGAACTAAAGTGATAAGGAGGATGGTGAAGAGGAAGGACATAGATGAGAGGTACTCTGAACCAGAACTGCGAGGCTTTGTTTCCAAAACCCAGAGCCAAAGTAGAGTTTGCCACATGCCTAGGTTTGTCAGCTCCAGAAAGGAGAAAAGAGAGGCAAGGCCACTGTATGGAACAAGAGACAATCTTCAGATAGATATGTTTTCTCCCTCCCAAACCCATCTCAGGTTCCCTGGTCCCCATAGGTGTTACACCAGAAGCCAAGGAAGGCACACCTGCAGCACCAGGACTTGTGATGGAGCCAGGCTCCCCAGAGCTCCCAAGAGAGGATTGAATCCCTCTTGTACCATTTGGCATGAAGCAGGAAGCCAGCGGATGAACACCTGCCCTTAGGAGGTTAGGGACAGGTTCTGGAGCAAAAACAGGGTGGGAAAGGACTGAACTCCAGGAATCTCATCTTTGTCCTGACACCTCTCAGGTCCTTTCTGAACTCAGTTCTGGCCAGCAGCAGACACCTCTCCTCACTAGCGGCTTCTCAAAACGTGCATCTTCACTGGGTAAGAACAGAACTGTTTTTAGCCAGCTCACCAACAATTTTTGCAGCACCAGACATTTCCACGTGCCAGATGTAACAGTTTGGAGCCAATCGTCCACCTGTTTATACATCCTGTCTGCTCTCCTCCAGCTTTCTGTTCCCCCAAACACCCTCCTTCTTTCTCTTGGCTTGCTTACCGGCCCCACCAAGCAAACCCCACTCAATCTCTCCGGGACTGCCCTTTTCTCCTCTAATCCAGCCCTCATCTCTACCGCCGTTCCCCAGCACAGTCGCCACTTTCCTCCTCCACCTTCTCCTCCTCCTTCCCTGGGTCAGAGGCCGAGCCCAGGCGCTGCGCTCCGCGCCTTTCCCGGAGCCGTGCCCGCTGTCCCAGCTCCCCGCAGTGGCTGGACGCGGGCAGCGCAGGCAGCGCCGCGGGATACTGCTGCTCCCAGGACTGCCAGCCCTTCCCAAGGAATGGACACTGAGGCGGACTCGTCGGGGCTGCGACGAGCATTGCGCACGG